TTGTGAACTTCATGAATAGGCTGAGCTGGATGTTTAGTAGCTAGGAAAATAGGTTCAGCCTAATGTAAAAAATCTTGGTGTTGTTTTTGATCAGGACCTGTCATTTAAATCCCATATCAAAGAGGTTTCTAGAATTCGAATCAATCTGACTGGATGATCTGGTGACCTGTAAGTGACCTGGGATCACATGTTGTGAATTGGCGAAATAAAGTGATTAGAAATTTAACAGTTTCTTTACATCTAACATTTCCTTTAGTAGATGTTTCCGTTCCGTTTCATTTATCTGGACGGAGGGCAGTAATGGGGAGAGGCCAGAACACACTGATGCTTTTCAGGAGTCGGGGAAACTGAACCCTTTCAGAACCTAAACTGCTTCACTCGACCGAGAGCACAAAGAATCCTTTAAAAATGAAATAGTGCCCTTTAAGTCCCCCTTCATCAGCAACAAGAACCATGCAGCCTTTATTTATAGATTCATTTATTAGCTCACTGGGTGAAAGTCTGCTTACATTTCCAGTTGGGTTCATGTCATGTGAGGCGTTACGCTCTGCTGCTCTAAGTGACTAGAAGTTAAACCCGTCAGGCTGGGTGAGTCCCGCTGCTGCAGGCAGCGCTGCAGGCAGAGGGCGAGCTACAATGCTTTTAGCAGGAAGGACATATTTCTACTCCAGCTGCACCAAACAGAGACATGAGAAACGGTAAATAAAGCGCAGGAAACACGACAACATGAAGAAGTGGCCCAGCCTCCCCCTCCTCCCCCATAGTGAGGTTCCAGGAAGCCGTGGAAAAGTGACGGAGGCCCAGACGGGGCTGCTTCAGAGGACCAGACCCTCATAAGCCGGCCCCTCAGACTCTGGAGACTCCCTCTGCAGGCGAAGATGCTCCAGCGTATTGTTGAAGTGTTTGTTGATCTGTTCCGTTTCTTCACTGGCCTCCAGGTTGGGAAGGTCTTCCCTGATCTTCTGGATCAGCTGGTTTAGAACCTGGAGAGTCACCTGGAAGGAGAGAAAACCTTTAGATCGTTTCTCCACCATCGATTAGAGCTGAACACTAGAAAGTCTTCCCCATAGCTCTGTACCCATCAACTCCCCTCTCTGTACTTCCCTCTCTCTCTGCTGTCACCACTGATCCTGGCTCTGGATTTTACTTGGACTTACTGTCCTATTGACGATAACTGGAACACTGTCTACTTTATAAGTCCCTGTGGATAAAAGCATCTGCTAAATGCAGAAACATAAACATAGAGAGAAGCTGGAAATGAAAGGTGACATAAAGCCTGAAATGTCTGGCAGGGAAAGAGGAAGAGAGGAATGTAGCGACTCGCCTGTTCAGATGTCAGAAAGATGTTGCTTTTGCTCCTTAAGACACATTCTCATCTTCATACTCTGGATCTTGTGCTGACATTGAATATGAATAAAAAACAGAATTTCCTCACAACCCTGTCCTCTCTGACCACTTTCTAATAACCTTCAGGATTACTTTAACAGAGTTCTCCTCCCCCAAAAGAGGG